GTCCCACGCAGATGAAACGCACATGACAGGAAAAACTCAGATTAAGCCCAAGCAAGATTTCATCACAAACCCAATTGGTGATAGAAAGAGTAGCCCACTAGACGTTTAAGTCAGACTTGTTTTTCTGTATAAAAGATGTGGGACAACTCACAAGTGGTATTATCTAATATTCTTAAAAGGAAGATGAGAATTGAGAAAAGGCATTAGGTTAAAAAAAATTGTCCTACATTTATACTTGGTTGAAGATAAGGGAAAGATTAAACTACTTAAAAAGGTTTCACTTAATCCAAGTTTTCTGGACTTAAATTTTCTATCTGCTTGGGCGGTTAATATTTAAGGTTGATTAACACGAGTCGTTTGACATCACACGAGTCATATGAGTATCTCACACGAATCGTGTAGAAATGACGCATAACAAAAAATTGGTTCGGCATTTCCACACGAGTCGTTTTGAAGTCCCACACGTGGGACTCCCAAACGACTCGTGTGGTTTCATTCGACCCGTGTGGGATTTTTACACGAGTCGAGTTGGTCTTTAACAAGCAATACACAACTCGTGTGGGTTGTAGCATGCAAGACATTCATTTCGCCATTTCACATTGATTATATCACACAACATTGTTATGGAATATTTTAGTTCAAATGTAGTATAACAAAAATAAATAATGCGTAAGAACCTCATTAATGTTTTACAATTAAAAAAACATTCATCACATCATTATTGTGCATTGTCGTAATCCAACTTAAGTTTAGCCAATCTTTCTGCATAATGCGCCGCCATTGGAGGATCAACACATGTGCAGTCCCGCTGCTAGTCCGATGTAATGCTAAAAACACGGTCCATCCACTACAAAAAATGGAAGAATAAAAAGATATGATAAATATTTATTAAAAAAAATTATTGTAATCAAATAACATTAACTAAATTTAGTAAACAACTTACATAGTCGGTATTGGCACGCGAAGGTACCTCGTTCTCGTCCAATAGATTCTCGCCCAAGACAGTAGGATGGGAAACCTGACCGTACCACTGCAAGTACTCTGCAGTCGCCATCCTTCGATCATGTGTGGTGGGGATCAACATACTGGTGTTGACGGTCTGCGACATCGGGAACTGGTTTCAAGAACCTACTGCAGAAACATCAAAATACTCAACCTTGTAGAGCATCGACTCCCGAGCACGTACTGCAGTGACTGGCGGGACCATAGGGGGAGGGACAATCTAGATAAACCCCAACTGGCGTAGAAACCGCAGAGGCAAGTACAGCTCGACAATATCGCGGTACCGACCCGAATCAATCCGTAATAAAAAGTCATCGGCTCTATCGAATCTGGGCTGGAGCTACCGTATGGCAACCATTGCACCTGTTCACAATTGCATAAAAGCATTTATAAAAATAATTATATTATTTTAAATAACGGGTAACTAAATGTAAATAAAACAATTTAACGTACATAAAAGGCAGTGAGTCTGTCAAGGCGCCGACGGATAGATGTGAAATGATCTTCTGACCGTGGCATCACCGTTACGCTCCACGAGAGAGATCGTGCGACACAGTCAGGACCAATGGGTAGACGCCCCTGGGGTCAGAACCAGGGGAAATACTCATATATCCAGGACTGCAGAAGAGTCAAGCAGCCAGATAGTTCATGTGTGTCCTCTCTGCTGGCAATACCTAACTGTCTGTACAAGTATGCCAGTGTAGCCGATCCTCATGAGTAAGTCTCAATTATATCCAAGCCGTCGAGCACCTCGTGCAGGAGTTTGGGATACACTCTACTACCACTCTTGTCAACGAACAAGGTGGTAGACAACAACACCCACATCTAGGCAGCAGCCTCATCCAAAGCCAACTGGCCTCTCCCTGAATGTGTCCACAACGGAGGCTTCGGTCACCGAACCACGCTGCCAGAACGACGCAATGAGGTCAACTTCGTGGCTGAAAGTATCTCCATGAAGTACACCTGGCAGACGTTTGTATTCGGGTCCTCAACGACCATGGCTCCCTCCACAGGAACCCCCAAAATGGCCCGGACGTCGTGCAGCATGATGCTCATTTCACCAAAAGGCCGGTGAAACGAGTTAGTATTCGGCTGCCATCGCTCCACAAATGCAGAAATCAGTGGAGTGTCCAGTGGCTGTGCATGGAGTGTACCAGATGTGACAACCCAGTCTTTCCGATCAGATCTTGTGCATCGGAAGACATATCACCATGTCAATTCATCATATTGCCCAGCGCTTGCTGTCTGTTCTGGCATTTCAGTATGCCTCTAAGCTCTCCAGTCCACATTCGGGAGGCTACGTGCCCTAAAAAACTAGGGATGACACTCCAATCAATGGACCTACCACTGGACCTCTAACGACCCATGTTGCTTCATGTTAAGTCCTAGATCGTTTGCTAGTACCTGCATTAGAATAGAACATATATATAT